TTTTGCATGTTTATAACACAATAATTCATTCCTTCAGTTTCTTAAACCAGCTATTGTTTCACTTTCACTATTGCTTAAATATTAATGTGTATTTTAGTAATATTATGTAATGTAGTCCAGTTTTGTCTGTATTATGAATTTCATGTGGCTTGTATTCATATTTATGTATTTAGCACAAGTAAGGGCTTGTATTTAGCACAAGTAAGTGTAAAAGTAATCTTTCATCCAGTTAATCAGCCCTATGATGACCTGCCTCTTTCTTCTGACCATGCACTTTCTAATGACTAGTGTTGGATTTCTCTTTCTCCAGCTTGTGAGCATCTATCAGTTGATACAAAATTCTATTTTAGTACTCTAGGAATTAATGAAAAAAACTCTTTTTTGATAGAAATTGAAACTTTTTTTTTTTTTTTTTTTTTTGTTTTTTTTTTTTTTTTTTTTTTGTTTTATAGCTTGAAACCATTCTAGAAAATCAGTTTCAACATCTTTTGATTTTCTTTTTTGTATTTCTTTGAGATGTTTACATTTGTTATTAGTCCTTCATTAATTATATCTTATTAAAGTAAATTGCACAATACTGCTTGAGAAATTCCCAAACAAAATTTAATTTTACTGTGCTTACAGTTACTAAGAACACAAGAATCTTTTAATTTGTCCTTTTCTTATAGGTTTATATGTTTTCGCTAGACATTCTCAAATGTTGCAAGGGCAAAACGAATTTTAAAAAATGCTTCTTCAGTGATTTATCCAAATTTCAAAGGAAACCTTTTGAACTAGCAGAAAGATTGCTTTTTGTCTCTAGTTAATGCCATTGTCTTGCTCTTTGTATATTTAGTTAGCCTACAAGCATAACTAATGCCTTCTTTTCTTTTTTCTTCAACCTGCAGTTATCACTTCTTTCTATTTAAAGACTATTTCTGTATGGTACTGCTAAGAAGCATTTTATGAACTTTTTTAGAACCCTCTATGAACATAATATGTCTATCTCAAAGGGAAGATTTTGAATGTAAAAATCTTAAAAGATGGGATACTGAAGTTGCACTTCCACCTGCTCTTAACCTGGTGTTCCAGAAGGAACTCATTTACTGTGCCTGTAGGTGGTTGTTTTTGTTAACCTTAAGATAAGAACATTTTGCCTCTTTGAAGTCCACTGTTGATGAAGAACTCTGAAAATAGTATCTCAGAGGTACAGGTATCGGAGTGATAGGGAAATTTCAGTTGCACCAATAAAAATTCAAATGTTCCAAGTTGTTTTTTTTCCCCACAATTTTTTATGTTCTTTATTTTAACTCAACCTCTTTCTTTATTGTAACCCAAAATTGAAGTGAATATATTCTGTTCTATTCATATTTGAAAAAAAAAAATTCCTGAACATATTTACTCAGGTGCACCGAAATAATGTAGTTCAATGTACCCGACTTTTAACTTAGCGCAGAGTGCATCAAGAGGTTAACCCATTTCATTGAAGCACTACATACCTGAACAATGAAGCCATCGTCCACAATACATTTACTGGATGAACTATGAAATGTTTTGATAGGTACATATGATATGAGAGTCAAACGTTTTGTTTTGAATTTTTTATAACAAGTACAAAATTTTTCTAAAATGACCGGGGAACACGTCACAGAGACTAGAAGGACATGTAAAAAGTTAGATATCATAATTCTTACAAAATTGATTTCTTTAAAATTGAAAATCCCGGAATATAAATCTTTACATCATTTGAAGCATTTTTATGAGTGGAAGCATATGTTTACAACTAACAATTAGGAAAATAAAGGCTAGGTAAAAACTTTTGTGGACACAGTGAGTATGCAACATACATATATCAGAAGCTTAAAAACTGTGGTTTGAATGCTTTTGTAGGAGGTTTTTGAATCCCTATATAGCATTAAAAAGTTCTGGTTAATTATTCTTTTAAATATTAAAGCATAGTATGAGCTTTAATGCAATTTATTTTTACCCTAGTTCATACTAAGTTTTCTTTTTTTTTTTTTTTTTTTTTTTTTTTTTTTTTTTTTTTTGACCATTTTCAAAATACCTGAAAGATGAAAATAACGATTGTAGTCTCAACCAAATGTCCCACTTATAAAGATAAATAAATAACTTTTTATCACAACTGTGTTCTTCTGGAGAATTCAAGCTCTTGGAAAAGAGAGGAAGGCAAAAGCAAAGTCAAATAGGTCCTGATTTTTCTAATATTTCTTTGTTTGATCTATTCTTTATCTATTAATTTGAGGGGATGGAAAATTTGTATGTTCTTCTTTGTCTCGTACCTTTGGCACACAGATAAAGCAACACCACCTCTTAATTAAACCTCATGCAGCTACCAAAATACCAAATATCCATCCATGCACAACACAAAATATCAAATTTTAGTATTTCTTCAAATGTTAATTTCAAACAGAGCTTTTAATTATTAATTAATGTTTTTTTAATGTAATCACTTATCCTTCAGATAAATATATTTGAACATTTAATAGCTTTTTCCATCTTTATTAGCATTTATATATGGCCCCAAAAGTGTGAATTAACCCCCTGAGGGGCAATACTGTCTTTATCCAGCCATGAGATTTTTTGTCATTACCTATATATTAACTTATAATTTGCTTTCTTACTTTCTTTAATGATGTTAATACCATCTTAAGTAATGGAAATTTATGGAACGAGAGATTAAAATATGTAATTATAAACAAATTTAACTAATAAATGCTGTTTAAATACAGGTCTTCATGAGCAGATCCAAAATGGTGCCACTTAAAGGATTTGTAGAATATCTTTGGTCATTTTGATTGTGTTATGTTGAATTCCCCCCCCCACGCACACACGCACTTGACTAACTTGGATATGTAAAACACTTTTTTCATTATTGTTTTTTACCTAGCTTCTGTATAAAAATGTTTTCATCTTGTTTGTTTTTCCTCTTCTCAAAGCTAGAAAAGTGTGTGTTGGGGACCCTTGAAAGAATAGCATGCATAGAGTTACCTGTTGTCTTGACAGGAGCCTGCACGGGCATATGGAATTAGTTTTTTATATGTCTTTATACCAGAAGGAAATAAAATTTAAAGCATAATGTCTTGACTTTTCATTAAAGTCATGAAAACGCAAACTTCTACAGCTTAATTCTTCTACAGGCTATTTCCTATGGATGTTACATATTATGCTAATTATAATTTGCATTACATGTAATAACCAAATAATTTTTCATGTTGAAAATATAACTTCGAATATTCCTGGACTATTTAAATGGTGGTGACATCATTCCGCAGATACTATGACTAGCTAGCTGTCCCAACTTTCTGTATCTGAACTTCTTTGTCTCTTGGGTTATTTTTCTTTTTATATTTATCTAAAGAAGAAACAGAGATTACTGTATTTGACGGCATATAAGACGCACTTTTTTTCCTAAATTTGGTCTCAAGAAAAGTTACCTGCGTCTTATACATGAAGATAATTGCATTCAATAATTGTTTATTTGGCTTTTACGGAACGTGAGAACTAAAAAAAAAAAACGCTATTGAAGCTTTTTTTCCTTGTGTGTGGCCATCTAAATAAGGGTGTATCTTATATACTGTCAAATACGGTAATCTGAGGACTATATAGGTGACATAAGGAAATTCTGCATACCATGATGTAATAGACAGCCTACAACCCCAACACCAGGTGATATATTGTTAATATTTTTTTACTCGCTGCATTTCCTGTACTTTTGTCTTTTAAATAGAAACATTTGCTTACCATTTCCTAGAGTCCTTTGTTTACATCATAAAAATAAAATTACAGGATGAGATATCCATACTGATTACATGCAGTATGTATACACAGAAGTTGAGTGACAGCACATACTGAAGGGCAGCCATCACAAGTTCACCTGCAGCATTTCCTATATTACAATCGCTACATTGGCCTCATAGTGTTCTGCGGTTTTCATATTACCCTTCTACTCTCTGTTATAGGAAACCACACAGAAATCCAGCAAAAGCAAAAATTCAAGTGCAGAAAACCATCAGAAAATATGAATCGGCACAGCTTCTTCAAAATAATATACTTGCCACTTATATAGCAGCCTGAACATTCTAAAGCATTCACTGAGCTTGAAAAATATCTTTGTTTTGACATTTGTTATGCAAATAGTTTGTTTCTTGTATGAATTCTGCTATGTCACATGATTTGAAGTGAGTTTGAAACCATGTGAATTTGAAGCCTATGGCAGCATGGAGGAAAGACAAGAAAATATTTATATTCTAAGTGTAATACTTGCCATGTTTATAAAACATGCAATATGCTGGCTGATAAAAGCATGATTTCATGATCAAAACTGTAGTCACAGAAATTACACTTTCTTAATTATGTAAATTTTTTAAGCATTTTCTGTTAGTATTCCTAACACTTCATTGTTTAAAACAAACTTTAACATTAGAAAGAGACAAAAAATTTATTTAAGATTTTACCTCTGACAAATTTTACTAATTTTGGTTATCAAAGTATAGTACATTCAGATCATAAGAAATATTTCTCTCTAAATGCATTATTAAATATTTTAATTTATAATCATTGTTTCTGTATTTGAATTTGACTGATAATGCACCGAGCCTCTATGGAAAAAGTATGAACGGAACGGAAATGAGGCTATGTCTCCCAATTAATTTTGATATTTTTTTAGCAAAAAAGTCATTAAATTTTACCATAAAAACATTTATAGTTTTCTTGTTTTATTTTGCTCACCTTTTAATCATCCGTAAGTGTCAAATATAAAACTGTGTTGACAAATAGTTTTTTTAAATTACAATATTTTGTTGAATTGATACAGAGGTTAATTGAGTAATTGCTATATACCCCATTGAATAAATGTTTAAAACTGTTTCAGAAAAGGCCAAAGTAATATCCAAAAAGTGAATTAGTCCCCAAAATAATTTTTTGATTTATTTTGCATTTCTTTCACTATCCTTTATCTTTCTGTGTCTCTCCCTCTCTGACAACTGCTATATTGTGTATAGGTACTAGAACTAGAAGCTAGCCACGGCAATCCAGAAGCCATAGCAGAACTTCGAAAGGAAATTGGTACTTTAAGGAGCAAAAAGGAAACTCTTGAAGAGCAAGTGAATAACAAAGATAATGTAGGTATTCTCTTAATTTTCTGTCTATTAAAAATTCCAATTCTTTAACAGTATAATATGCTGTATCACCGGTTTTTTACTAGTACTTTTAGGTTTAAATAAACTTATTAAGTTGAATAGCATCATTGTTTCTTTGTATTTTTCCATCAATGTTTCATTGTTTAAATTTCATCATTCTCAAAACCTTAAATTATTATTTTTACCCAAAATTTTACCCAGACATCCCTAAAACAGATTAATCAATGAATATGAACTCTACTCTTGTGCAGTCCACTTCATAAAGTAAAATTTCTTAGTCAGATATATATTGTTAGCAAAATGTCTGTAAAAAGGAAACTTTAAATGATTACCTTGAAAGAAATTATTTTAATTGTCAGAAAACTCTACTGAATAACTCTCTAAAGCAGTGCTCTCAAACACAAATTGCATGCAAGCTGAATGCACAATATGAAAACAGTTGACACTCCTGAATTTTTTATAATAAACAGAATTTTTAATTAGATTTTAAACATAAAATACTTTCCTAAGATTACCGCCCCCAAATTAAAATGCTCAGTTATTAATAAAATTTTTATTTCATACTCACTAAGTACTTTTTATACAAAGTGTATAAAAATACTTGCATATGACAAGTACTTATAATGAATTTAAATTATTTAGGTGTGGTATCATGAGAGTCTGGCCACCCCTGAATTTTTCTGCCCGCATACTTTTACACACTGCATCCCCCATTAGGAAAGGCCCTGTAAATGCAGAGGGGGTGAATTTATTTTGTATCTCAAATCTAAAGATTATGTGATAAATTTTCATTGATTACAATATGTAATTCAAAATAGTGACAGTTAATATTAAATTTTCTGACTCGGATTTATTTCAAGTAATTCTAATATGTTTATCTAATCTAATGACCACTAAACTGCAAACTAAACTCAGTGGCATAACAGCCCTAATGGGCCAGGGCCTGCAGTGCCTAAAAATCTGCCTTTTTGACCGTGGGCCCCAGGGTGCATAAGCATTATGCCCTGAACAAGTGGTCAGCTTAATTGCAGGACCCCCAGTGTTCAGTCCCCAAGTAAACTTGGTACTCATTTTATTGACCCAAGTGATGGAAATCAAGGGATGAAAGGCTGAGTTGACCTTGCCCAGCCCGGGAATCAAACTCTGGACCTGTGGTGCTGCTGCGTGATGCACTAGCCACTGTGCCATCTGGCCTCAATTACCATTAAATAACTAAATTTTAACATAAACTAAAGATAACTTGTGAAAGCTTTCCAAATTTTCGGATAAAGCGTTCCAAGTGGGACAAAGCTTGAGAATAATGACAACCTCTTTTATGTATTAAATTTTTCTTTGACACTTAGAGTGCACATGCACATAGTAAGTAAACAGTTATAAATAACTTTCTTTCTCGGGGTTAAACAGAAGGGCTGGCTGATTCCTTTATGCGACTGCTTGCTGACACAATCTTCATAGGAATGGGGAACAGGAAGTAGTTTGACGTCACTATGTTGCATATGCTCTAACTTCACCTGTTTAAAACTGGCAATGTGGACATCCCAAATTAACTTTAATCACATATATTGTTTTCTAGACAAGTAGTGTCAAACTCTAACTGGCGGCCCACATAGTAATTTTATGTTGTCTGCAAATACATTTCTCATAAATTAAGTATTTAAGATTTTAATGGTCTGGAGTCCTATTTTACGTTATAATCATTACCAAAAACGAACGTATCTCTTCGTAAAATCTAGAAATAGAGCTAATTAATTTACTCTGTAATATAAATCTTGTTCAAAGATTTTAAGATACAAATTTGAATAACTTTTATTAGGACTTGTCAAAAGATAAATATCTTACGTTATGAATTTTTATAATAATACTCACTTTGTTTTTGAGTACATTTACATGAAAACAGCCCCCCCCCCATAGTTGAAAATTAATAAATCTACGTAAAGAACCAAACTGCCAATGACTATCTACAATTTGTGGTGATACTTTTTGAAGAAGGGATTCTATTAATGTGAAGAATGCAAGAATTTGCAGCGAATATTTTCTATATAGTGATTGTGAAGATGACATGAAAAATGGCTCGCTTGAATTGCCGCAAAAGAAACTGTTAAAATCAAATACTGTGCTGAGGAAAAAAAAAAAAAAAATGTTTTTGAAAGACTACATGAATTAAATTTGAAGGAAATTAATTTTGAGGCCGATTACGAAAATGGCGATAGGAATAATAAATCAAATACAAATGATTTTAAAATAGAACTCACAAAGTGACGATGTAAATATTGCTGAATGCCCTAACTCTAAAAATAAACAAGAATGCATTGATAATTTGTAAAAAACAGAACTAGCTCAGCATTTAGGTAGTTTATAATCCCATAAAATGTCACAGTAAATTCGTATAAAAAAGATCTTCCTCCTTTGCCCCTCTTTTGAAACATTAAATAATTTTGTTCAGATACTGAGCAAAGTTGTTTTGTCAAACTTAAGACAACAATCTTATATAATTTAAATTTAATGTAATGTAAGTGTATAAATATCAGTTAGACAATTATTTTTACAGTACCTGTTGTTATATCAAATGGAAGAAAAACACATCAGTGGTAAAATTTATAATTAGATCAAAAAAGCAGTGTTTAAATTAGAATAAATTTTGAACAAAACTATCGATTTCAAGGGCAGTCAAACATAATTTCTCTTCTTTTGCTGCAGAAAAAAATTCACATATCTATTCATAACTACTCCAAACTGAGGGGTTCTTTTTTTGCCTATCTTTAAAAATTGTTATAATAGTTATCTTAGAAAGAGTAATAGTGGTGTATTTATTTAATTATGGCAAAGCACACTAGGGCTATCTGCCTAAGGGAAGTGATGCCTTCGTGGAGGACTTTCTAAGGGAAACTGGCTCGTATACACGTTACACATGGGGAAAACCATGAAAACACCCATGCAGCCAGCCCGTTCGCAGGATTCGAACCTCGGACCGAACTACAAGTGTTCAGCGACTTTACCGCTCGGCCACTGGTGGGCCATTGAAAGAGTAATAGAATTCTCTCCCTCGTAGTATTCAGATGAAGGAAAGATAATGAATGCCATAGTTTTTTTTCGTCGTGATTTAGTAATAAATGCACTGGGAGGAAAACCTACAACTTTTAAGAAAATGTAGCATATTTTACCTGTTACTTTTTAATTAATAAATAAGTATTGCAGTCAAATACCGAAAATCCGTTGACTTGAAATTCACCAACTCCTAAAATCTGCGGTGCCTCTCGAAATATAAACATTCAATATATGGGTTCCGGAAACCACAACATGGAGAACGAAATACCAAAGAAAAAATACTTACCGAATAATGACGTCATAATTACGGAATGATAATGAACAGAAATACCAAATTATTGCCATCATGAGAAAAGTTTTTCCTGTCCAGGCTGCAGCGAGGTAAAAAAGCAGACAATTCACTCAACTTCTCTTTCAAGTTCGCGATTCATGTTGTCATATTTTATGAGCTTTATTTCATGAGATTGTTTAATGCTGCCTTTTTTGGGGGGTCCAGATGTTTTGTGGATATATTAAAAATATTTTAAATTTCAGCGCTTTTTAATACAATGACAGATAAGAAACACGTTCAAGATTTTACTGCTTGCTGCGTTGAAAAACGTAAACACGTTCCATTGACAGTAATGCAAAAAGTGGAAATTTTACAAAAGATGGAGGCAGATACTACTTTTCAGTTTATAGCAGGATCGTATTGAATTGCGACATGGACCGTGTATGATATACGAAAAAATAAAGAAAACCTGCTGGAATTTTGCAGCAAGACTGATTCTAACATTGGAATCTAAAACTGGAAATCTTTGCATAAGGCAAAATCTTCAAACTTCGATGCTGTCTCTTGTACAAGTGGTTCCGGCAACGGGGTACCAATTTTAGGACCGTTCCTCAGAGAAAAGGGGAAACAGATTGATGCCGTTTTAAAAATAGAGGAGCTGTGTGATTCCAGCAGCTGTTGGCTGAACAGATTTAAGCTGAGGGCATGGCATACGTTATCTGAAAGCATGTGGGAAAAAACTTTCAGCAGAAAAAGATGCTGCAGAGGAATTTATTGATGAATTTTCTGTGTTAGGGCAGAAGAAAATCTTAGCACGGAACAGGTTTTTAATATGGACGAGACTGGACTTTTTAACGATGTTTGCCAAGAAAGACATTTGTGACAAGCAAAGAAACTGCACCATCAGGGGTGGAAGAAGCTAAAGAAAGAGTTACTATTTTAGTATGCAGCAATGCAGCTGGGATTTGACAAATGTAAACCAGTGCTAGTGGGTAAGAGCACCAGCAGTCCCAGAGCTCTCAAAGGAGTAAAATCCTTACCTGTGATTTACAGGAATAATAAAAATTCCTGGTTCACAAAACATATGACCGAATGGTTCATGAAACATTTTGTTAAAGAGGCTAGAAGGCATTGTAACAATGCGGGGTTACCATCAAATTGCAAGATTTTACTAGTGTTGGACAACGGCTCTACACATTCAGATGCAACCACTTTAACATGTCATTATGTTGTGGCCCCCTTTTTTTTACCCCCAAAGTGTCATTGATCCAACCAATGGACCAGGGCATAATACAGTGACCTTCAAGAGGGAGCCATTATAAATCAGTTTTTGAAAAAATATTTTCAAGTGACCATTCTATTTCACTTTGTGATTATATAAAAAAAGAAATCACCATCAAAGACTGTATTTATTTATTTGTTATTAGCTGAATCATGGAATTCTGTTTGCCAAAACAACATTAGTAAATGACTGACATAATGTATGGCCATCTTCTCTGTTTATTGAAACTGAGAGTGATGACACTGAATTTTATGGTTTTAGGGTCAGTGCAGGAAGGGTTCAAGCAAGAGAATTGCTGTTACATTCGAAAAAAGAATAAATGAGGAGGCTTTGAAAGAAGAAGTAATCATTGAATGAATGATGTGTTTAGATGAGCCAACATTG